ATTGCAGTTGCATAGATACAACTATTAGAAGGTATATCATTGTAATTTCATGTGCATCTCTATTTCAAAATTAAAAGATTTCTAAAACTTTAAAAGTAGTATAATTAATGAAATTTTGCTAAAAGCAGCTGGGAACCAGCACTGTTTTCAAAATCATGCCATACATATTAGCTTGTTGGATGTTATTGCTGCTAACACTAAACACTAGACATTGAATGCCAGCCTTGTTACCAGTATGGTGCCTAGAAATTCCATTTTCTTGTGATTGTTGCTCCTACCACAACCGTGGGAGCGAATTCCATCATCACTGTTTTTTTTTTTTGTGTGTGTGTGTGTGGTAGTAGTGCGGTTTTTGTCGTTGTTTTGTTTTTGTTTTTTTGTTTGTTTGTTTGTTGGGATTCTTTATCATTGTTGTTATTTGAAGTGAGGTCTCACTGTAGTTCAGACTGGCCTTGAACTCACTACGTAGCTCAAGCTGACCTCAAATTCACAGCAATCCTCCTGTTTCAGCCTCCCAAGTGCTGGGATTACATTCATGTGTCACTGTCCATATGGATTTTTTAATCCCTCCTTTCAAAGTGTTCGGTTGGAGTTATGACTGCAGTGAAAAGGTCGACTCATCAGATCTGGAGTGTTCAAGCCCTGTGCATTCCAAAAATAAATGTCTTTTACAAAAAAATATTGGCTCTTGGGAGATAATATGTAAAACCTTAGAATATTCTGTTTTTGTTTGCCTGGGACCTGTGTTAACAGTATGGTTTATGGTGGGAGGGCCACATCTAAAGTCTTAGTTTTGACTCTGGATGGTATGGAGACTAAAAAACTAAGGTCAACTTTGCAGATTCTCCATGCCTGTCCAAGTGACTCCTAACAAAATTCCTGGGCACCAAAGCTTGGGTGAACAACTCTAATTGATTATACTTCTTACATCTTTACTGTTGTTATTATTGCTTGTTTTGTTCTTTCTTTCTCTAGACAGGGTCTGTTTGTATGGTCCAGGGTAGCCTTGAACTCACTATGTAGCCCAGGCTGGCCTGGAACTCATGGCCGTCATCTTGCCTTGGCCTCCCAAGTGTGTAGATTGCAAGATGTGTTCCACTGTTTCCAGCTCTGTGTGTTTGCATACATCATTGATAGGAATTACCTCAGGCCATAAAACTCCTTCAGGGAAGAAAACAGGGAATTCATGCCTTCTATGTTCTGTACTCTGCTTATATACCATCTCCTTGTTCATTTAATCTGTATTCCTTCATCATAATACACCATGTCGTGTCTGTAACACATTTTCTCAGTTCTGTGAGTCCTTCCAGTGAATCCCTGGCTCCAAGAATAATCTTTGGGAGCTTGCCTTGCTGGTAAATCCTACATCACATTCTCACCACTGCTGATGCCATGTGAAGAAATTAATATATGACCTTTGTGGCATTTACAGTTGGCACTATTGCATAATATAAGCTAAATATGCTATAAATTAACTTACTTAAATGTGAAAAGTTGAAATGTATCTGGCCCCAAGAGTTTTCAATAATACCTATATAACTGTATAAAGAACTTATGACAGTCATTAAGATTAAGACAACCCAAACAAAATATAGGTGAAAGACTTGCAAGATATGTGCATAGTATTTTGATCATAATGTTATTTGTATGTTCCTGTCTTCCAAAAAATCTTAAATCTAAAATGAATGCCAGCTTAGGGAAATGTTTGAATGCATTGTAGGAGATACTTATGGAATACAATGCACACATTTAAAAGAATAAATCTGAGGTAGATTACTATTAAATAAGATCAGATGCATAAAAGACTTTATACTATGTAATTATTATAAAGCAATGAAAAATTAGTTAATTGGACATGAAAGGATAAAAATGGTATTAACAGTGCATATCTAGGAGACAAAGGTAGTAGTTTAAAAAGAAGGCGGTGTAAAATATTTGTCACGTATTTATAATCCCATTGATGTAAGAACAAATACATATGCATAAAGTAGCTTATTAAAATGTAGGATTAAAACTTGGATGTTATTTCAAGATGTGAGATTTGGAATGATTTAACTAATTTCTAAAATAGTTAGATAATATTTGAAATTGTAATTACAAGTGTGCATTTCAATATTTTTTTTTGTACCAGCGATCAAACCCATGACCTCACACTTGCCAGGCAGGTACTATGCCAGCTGAGCTATATCCCCAGTTCCTACATTTCAATAATGAATATGTATTATTTATATGGGGAAAATAAGGACATTTATGACAATACAAATAGTGTCTCTCAAATTTCTTGCTTTAGCAGTTGGATGGACAGTGATTCATTATTCATCAAGTAAGTATTTAGTGAGCATTTAAAATTACCAGGCATTGTTTTAGGCACTAGGAATACCACAATAAACAAACCAGACAATAGTCTATCTCCTTAAGAAGCTTACATTCACATATGGAGACAGTGGTATAACCAAAGGAAATAGATGGTGGAGAGAATATATACAAGGGACTCACTTTAGGATTTGCTAATTTTGAGGATACTGAGAGATAGATATTTGGAGAGTGTAAGTAGACAGTTGGATTACAGATATAGAATTCATAGGCCAAAGGAAGGGCTAGAGATACAGATATGGAAGTAGATAGCATATAAAATGGTGTTTCAGACCTCCTTTCTTGAGTCTGATCACATCCCAGTGCAGACACTGTGCAGAGAAAGTACTGAGGAAAAACAGGCAGCTGACAGGGGAGGAAAGTCAAGACAGATGAGGAAAGTCATCCAGCCAGGCAGAATTGATGTTGGCCCTTGGGGATTAAATGCTGCAGTTCCTCCTAGTATTTGCTTCCTTTCGTATGCAGGATGCTGGCAGGAGCTGATGCCAGAACCAGTGAGAAATGCACAGGGACAAACCTTGAATTTTGGAAAAGTATCAGTTCAGTTTAAGTGGCTTTACATCTGTATATCGGTTTCTAACTTTTTGTGTTTCTCCAGTGATCCTGGAAGCACAGCAAGCAGCCTGTGTGTTCTTGGGCAGGACCCACAGACTGTTCTTCCCATTGCACATATTGAGAAACCGGTTCAGGGATGCTGATTGACCAAGGCAGCTCACACAGCCAGGGACAGGCAGGCTGGGCACTTCACCCCTGGAATTGTAAAGCTCAGCCCAGCTTCTTTCCGCAGGGTTGTGGCTTCCCCAGGCTCTAGCCCTGGTATACTTTGGAGTCCACACACAAACACTTGATTGTTCTTGCAGCTCCACTGGGCGCCAGGAAGGACTTGGGGGTGGGTAGTGGGATAGTATGTCTGATAGGGGAGAGATTGGACAGTGGAAACAGAGTGGGTCTGGAGTAGCAAGTCCCACACCTGGATGGACCCACATAGAACTCAGAATGTGATCTTAGGCCTCCTAAAAAGCAAATCTTGTTTGGAGGAGAAATTGGGGTTGAGGGAGGTCAGTCACTGAAAAGGAAGAGAGGGTACTTAGATTTGCAGACTGGCACTAGAAAAATGTGGGCTTTTTCAGTCAGAGTCTCAGGCCCAAGTTTTGCATTTCCTGTTTACTGGCCCAAGGCCCTTAATCTGTTTCATGGGTTGTGTCTGTGTCTCAGCTTTCTGATCTGTGAAATGTGGACATTGATGTCCTCATCTCAGATCTGCTGTGAGGTGCAAGCAAGCCTCAGCACAGTTCCTGGTATGAAGTACAAACTGTATCTTTGTCAGCTCTTTCCCTGCCCCACAGCCAATATTTCCATGGCAGTAGCTATGGAAAGGACTGTAACGAAGCTAAGGCTGTGAGTTTGGGAGATAGTGACAGCGGACAGGCAGACTTATGTGCCAGGCAGCTGCTTTACTACCCCTGTAGTCTCCTGGCCTTTCTCTTTCCTTGGTTGCCAAGTGGATGAACTTAGTGAAAGGTGTAGTACTTGTTGCCATTGGAGAGCCCCCCCCCAAACCTCCTTAGTACTGAGCTAAAGTGGTTGCTAGACAAGGGGGTGGGGAGGTATTTATGGACCTGATTGGAGGAGACTTGACTACAGGAGGGCCAGAAAAGAGACCCACTGGAGAAACATAATAGGCTAGTGTGGGGCAAGGGGTGGGACTTAGGTGGAGTGCATCTTTTGGGGGAGGAGATATAGAGGACAGGGAAGAACCCTTGAACATTGTTGACCTGGTTGGTGGTGGGAAGATACATCCTTCTAGTACATGTGTGCATAGTTGTCTCCAGGTCAGAGCTTTTGTTGGGAAAAGAGGTGGGACTCTTGAACTCTTAGCCCTTGCGCATGCGTGTGGAGTTCTGAGGTGGTGTGTGGTGTATAAATCTAAGAGGTGGGATTATCTAAGCTGCCTTCCTGGCATTTTCTTCTGGAGAAGGAAAGAATACAGCTGCCAAGAGCCCAACCCAGCAATCCTGGTTCTCTTTGAGTCGTGAAGAAGAGAGGCAGCAAGGGGGTTGGGGTTGGGTCCTGAGGCAAAGTGAGATTAGCCCACAAATAGGACATTTGCTTCTCTTGATCCTTTTCCCAGTTTTTTGTCCTGATCCCTTTGCCTGGGATTCTGAAATTCCTTTAGCTGCCTGTACCCTGATTCACATCCCCCACCTGACCCTTCCTGATTTAGAACCCCGTTCTTTCTCTGAACCCTTATCTAGTCCCTCCCGTCATTCTTCACAGAATACTCCCAGATTTCTGTGCCTTGGTCGGTATGGTTAAAAGGCTTCTCTTCATTCAAATCCACTGTTCAACTTCCCAAATACAAATCCCAAGCCCCTTTCTCTGACTTGAAAACTTTTTGGTTTCCCTCATCCTTGATTTGAAGTTTTTTCCTGTCAGTCTGAAGATTAAGAATCTTCATCTGAACGCCCGTTCAGTTTTGCTGCTCAGATCCAGCCTGTTTCTCTAACATATCCAGTACCTCATCTGCCCACATAGTCAAATCACATACGCAGAGGCACACAGGCACAGGGTCTGGCTTGTTTTTACCTTCTGTAGTGTAACACCAACTCCTCTCCCACAACCCCTAGGCTCCCTTCTAGCCCGAGATACCAGAGCCATGGCTCAGAAAATGGACTGTGGTGAGGGGCTCCTCGGCTTCCAGGTGAGATCTCTGTTCCCCACCCCCACTGTTTCTCTAGAAGATAGTAACCCCGCCGGGGGGGGGGGGGGCTTTGGTTGCTCGGTTGCTAGGATTTTCCCCTTTATCATGCCTAGACTTCATCTTTCTTGTAATAATCTCAGAGTTTATCGAAAGGGGAGGGGTGTCCTCTTTCAGCCATCAGTTCCTGCTTAGAAGAAAAGGGGAGACCCCTTTAGTAGTCTGGGCAATTTGCCTAGAGATGATAACGAACCATTTTTTCCCACAGTACGGACTTGCATGGAGCAGCGGGTTGCCCCCTTTCCCAACTCATGACTCCACCCCCCTGTGTCTGACATTTTTCAACTGTGTAAACCACCCCCACCCCAACTCTGCCTGGAGTCCTGATCTCCCACAGCAAGCCTCACTGGCTCTACCCAAAGCTCACTTCTCCTTCAGTGCCCTAATCCTGTTTCAGTTTGTATCAGCTCCTCATACCACCTCATCCTTTTTGCCCCTTCCCTCATCCTCTGTGAACTGCGTGGTTTGTACTGGCCCCGCCTCTCTTCGACCTTTGTCTGCCCTCTAGGTCTCTGTCTGGGTCCCTCTCCCTTTGCCACTGAACTGCCTGCAGCTCTGCTGCTGTGCTGCACCTCTCCTACTCCAGCTTCTGAGGCAGAGAGATTTATTCCCTCCCCTCACTGTATTTACAGGCTGAGGCCTCTGTAGAAGACCGCACCTTACTTATGCAGACATTGATGGAGGCGATCCAGATCTCAGAAGCTCCACCTACCAGCCAGGCCCTGGCAGCTGCCAGTGGGCAGACAGCTAGTCCCCAGTGTTCACAGCCCCCAACTGCCAGTGAGAGGGTGGATATTCAAGTTTCAGCAGCTGCTGCAAGGCCTAAAACAGCCTTTAAAGCCCAGAATGCTACCGCAAAAGGCTCACGTGGTGTCTACAGTTTCTCTAAAGCACGTAATGCCAAGGCAATAGGCAATACCCAACCTAAGACAGGCTTTAAGCCCCGGAATGCCACTCCAAAGTGCCCAAATGCTGCCTATGATTTTTCCAAGGCAGCAGCCAGAAGTAAATTGGCTACTAGTGAGTCTGAGATTACCTTATTTAAGGCCCAGGATGTCACTACTAAGGTGGGCCCAAATCCCAACAATAGTTTCTCTAGGTCTCCTAATGCCAATGAGATGGTCACTGACCAGCCTAAAACTGCCTTCAAGGCTTGGAATGATACCACTAAGGCCTCTGTAGCTGATACCCAGACCCACAGTCAGAATGTAAACTGGGCCAAAATGGCCACTTCCCAGGCAGACACAGAGACCAACCCAAGTATCTTTGAACCTGATGGTGCAGCTGCGCAGACATCAGCAGATAGTTCCCTGGCTCAGAATTTGGAGTCCCGGACTATCATTCATGGCAAGAGGACGCACAAGGTGAGATCCCTGCTAGCTTCATTTTTCTTCAGGCTCTCACTTTTTTCTAACTGAAAAAAATTACATGTAACTTCCTGTATTCAGTCAGGCAGGGGATCTTGTGGTGAACCTTTATTTTTGTTTGTTGAGGTTTCACAAACTGATGAGAAGACAATAAATGCACACAGATAATAAATCTATATGTAATTCACTTTACATTTTGGTAGCAGCTACCATGTGTTAGGTCTTAAACTAGGCATGCTCACAAATGTCATGTTTCTAAATCTTACTTGCTAGGGATCATAGTCTCAGTTTTACAGAGAGGGAAACTTAAGTCTCAGAAAGATGAAGTGACTTGAGTGATTTGTTCAGGGTGATATAATTAGAGCCACTAGTGGACGTAGGAAGAAGAGAAGTCACAAGCCCCCACCCTTGGGTTTCTTTTGGCTTGGTTTGGAGATGAAATTTCTGCCTAGAAGACAGTGAAAGATAAACTTGTGACGGGTGAACATTGGCTAGTGTATCAGGCTGTCACTACAGGTAAGGGTTTAGAGGAGCTTCTTGGAGTAGTGAGGGTGAAGACAGAACCAACTAGCGACCGGGATGTTTCTTTTGTCTGATGTTCCAGATTAATAACTTGAATGTGGAAGAGAACATCTGTGGTGATCAGATGCGGGCCCCGTTGGCTGCTGGGACCTGGAGGTCTGCACCAGTTCCAGTGACCACTCAAAACCCACCTGGTGTACCCCCTAATGTGCTCTGGCAGACCCCATTGGCTTGGCAGAACCCCTCTGGCTGGCAAAACCAGACAGCTGGGCAGACTCCACCAACACGTCAGAACCCCCCAGCTAGTCAGTCTCCATCATCCTGGCAGAACCTAGTTGCATGGCAGAATCCAGTGATATGGCCAAGCCCCATTGTTTGGCCTGGCCCAGTTATATGGCCACATACTTTTGTTTGGCCTGGCCCAGTTGTCTGGCCAAACCCAATGGCTTGGCAGAATCCACCTGGATGGCATACTCAACCTGGATGGCAGAACACACCAGGCTGGCAGGGCCCTCCAGACTGGCAAGGCCCTTCTGATTGGCCATTACCTCCTGACTGGCCACTGCCACCTGATTGGCCACTTCCCACTGACTGGCCACTTCCACCTGACCGGATCCCTGCAGATTGGCCAATTCTACCTGACTGGCAGAACCTGCGGCCCTCACCTAACCTCGAACCCTCCCCCAACTCACATGCCTCACAGAACATGAGTGCCTCACAGCCCCGAGATGTGGCCCTTCTTCAGGAAAGAGTAAGAGCTATACCTCCTCAGTTACTTCTCTCACTCTTGTTTCTCTTTCTCTTTCTCTTTTGTTGTCCTTATATTTGTAATAAACTGCATTTTCTGCAAATATCTTATAATTTAAATGAGTTCCTTCTCTCCCAGGCAAATAAGTTAGTCAAGTACCTGATGCTTAAAGACTACACAAAGGTGCCCATCAGGCGCTCAGGTAGGCAACTATTATCCCTTCCCCAAACTCTGCCTTGCCTTTCCCTGTTTTCTGTGGGCATACTTTTGCCTGTACTGTGTCCCTTATCATTCTGGCACTTTGCTTCAATAGCTGATTCTTCCTATCCCATGCTTGAGGACCTTCACTTGTTATCCTCAACCAGGTTTGCCAAGTGGCCAGGAAATCACCCACATTCAATCCAGGTCTTCCCTCCTCTCTCTTACAGAAATGCTGAGGGATATTATCCGAGAATACACTGATGTTTATCCAGAAATCATTGAACGTGCATCTTTTGTCTTGGAGAAGGTGAGAAGGTAGCCCTGAGGGACAAGAATGATAAAGTCTTGATTTTTAAAGATTTGTGAAATTTTTACTGGAAGTTTAGAGTAAGACTCACAGGGAAGTGAGTGACTGCTTATAGGTACTGTTTATGCTAAATCTCATAATGTTTTTGTCTTATTTTTTTTTTGGTTCCTATAGAAATTTGGGATACAACTGAAAGAAATTGACAAGGAAGAACACCTATACATTCTCATCAGTACCCCTGAATCCCTGGCTGGCATACTGGCAACGTAAGATGGGAAAGTCCATTCTCCCATCCCCCACCCTGGGAGTTTCAAATAGGTCAGGGTCCAGAGTTCATTTTTACACAGTGGTTCATGGGAAGAGCCAGGGTATAATTCTCCCCCTGGCTGAGAAGTATTGGGAAGTTATATGGGTAAGCTGGCTGTGGTATCTCATACAAATGGCTGCTAAAAATATATTATTTTAATTCTCCTTTAGGACCAAAGACATACCCAAGCTGGGTCTCCTCTTAGTGATACTGGGTGTCATCTTCATGAATGGCAATCGTGCCAGTGAGGGTGAGTGACTGGACTTATAGCTAGGGGTTGGCCATAACCTTATTCCATGCTCATTTTCCATGCCTTGTCTCCTCCTGCTTCCCTTTGCAGCTGTCCTCTGGGAGGCACTACGCAAGATGGGACTGCGTCCTGGGTATGATCGGGCATCTCTTATCTGTTTGAATCATCCTTTGACAACAGAGAATGGTTCCAGGACTGCCTTAACTTCATGGTCTGGGGGTTTGGTTTGGGGCAGTCCAGAGCCTCGGGTTGTGACCTGGGTGGATGGGGAAGTCGTCCTGAACTCTGCCTCTTTTTTCATCTCTGATCTTGTGCTGGAAAGCTCTCTGCTTTTCTTCAGACAAAATCATAGCATATCTCTCTCTCTCTCTCTCTCTCTCTCTCTCTATTTCTCTCTCTTTCTTTTTTGATTACTATCATCAGGGTGAGACATCCTCTCCTTGGAGATCTGAGGAAACTTCTTACTTACGAGTTTGTAAAGCAGAAGTAAGTGATACCTAAGGAACTTTTTCTGGTCCTCATCATTCTGTATTTTAGTCTGCTCAGAAAGCCCTTCTGAAGCTTATTTCTTAAAATACCCCTGTTCATAGGCTCACAAAAACACATTTGTACTCAAGGGTGCTTACTGCAAATAGGCCGTTAGCCTGAGTTTTTATATTTTATAGCTATCTTACAATCAGTTAAAGTCTGCCCACTATCTTCACGGCAGATATTTGCAAGGCTGGGCCAGGTAGAGGCTTTTATACTGCAGTGTAATCATGGCAGTGGACCTGTGACTCATTGACATTATTATAAGAATCTGGAGCTAGAGACTTGTTAGAGGGAGTGAGATTAGTGTTGTCCTTTCTGTGTCCTAACACAAGCCTCCCTTGCAGCTCTGAATGATTGCCTGGGGTAGAAACACTGACACAGAAATTCAGAAGTCTGAATAAGTACCCCAATTGTGGTTAGGAGTTTGGAGTCAAGAGAATTGCTACCTGAAATTAGAAGTTTCAAAACCTTGAATTATTGTGCATCAGTGTATGGACTACCATTCTGCCTGGGTAGGTAACACATACATTTTTGCTGTTTTAGATACCTGGAATACAGACGAGTGCCCAACAGTCACCCTCCTGAGTATGAGTTCCTCTGGGGCCTCCGTTCCTACCATGAGACTAGCAAGATGAAAGTGTTAAGGTTCATTGCAGAGGTAATGAAACTGCTCCATAACTGATAGTAGCTGGGAAAGGTACAGAAAAGGAACAATATCCTAGATATATTGTTGTTGTGGTATGCAGTGACATTAAATAAAGTGCTTGATATGTATTAGTACTTGGTAAGTATTAACTAATCCTATTGTGGGATTTTTATTTTTTTTTCAAATTTTTAAATATTTTTGTTGTTTCCAGGCTTTACTAAAGTACAAAAAAAAGTACATAATTTATAGCATATGCCCTGAGTTTTTTTTATTTTTCATTTATTTTTAATTCAAAAGAAGTATACATATTTATGGAGTGCAATACGTTTTGATAATGTGTATATATTATGGAATGGTTAAATCAAGCTAAGTAACTGTCATACTTACCTTACATACTTATTTTTTGGTGGTAAAACATTTAAAGCTACCTCCCTGGGATTTTCAAATATGCAGTACGTAATCATTAACTATAGTCATCGTCCAGTACATAGATCTGTAAGCTTATTCATTCTATCTAATTGAAACCTTGGGGCCCCTAACCATCCTACCCCATCACAGGCCCTGGCAACCACCATTCTGCTCTACTATGAGTTTGACATTTTTTGGATTCCACATATAAGTGAGATCATGCAAGTGTATATCTTTCTGTTTCTGGTTTATCTACTTAACATCATAATGGCCTCTAAATAGGTTTTTGGTTTTTATTTCTCATCTCAGGTTCAGAGGAAAGACCCTCGTGTCTGGACTGCACAGTTCATGGAGGCTGCACAGGAGGCTTTGGATGCTATGGATGCTGCTTCGGCTGAGGCTGAAGCCCGGGCTGAAGCAAGAACCCGCATGGGCATTGGAGATGAGGCTGTGTCTGGGCCTTGGAGCTGGGATGACATCGAGTTTGAGCTGCTGACTTGGGATGAGGAAGGAGATTTTGATGATCCCTGGTCCAGAATCCCATTTACCTTCTGGCCTAGATACAACCAGAATGGCCACTCCACAATTCCTCAGACCTTCGCTGGTCCTATTATTGGTCCTGGTGGTACATCCACTGCCAACTTCAGTGCCATTGGTTTCTTCTGGGTCGAGTGAAGCATTGGATAGGTATATCACTTTGAATTGGGAAGTTTGGGGGGTATAGGATTGATGGGGTTGCATTTATGTTCATGAGCTAGGAATTATATTGGAAACCTGTGGTGGGGATATGAAGGAAGTATAGGAAAGCACTGTTTGGTATTTATATTCCTTACTATTTGATAATATATATCATTGAATTTTTACTTTTTCTTATATTCACAGATGTTGCAATAGTCCTTTCCCTGAGTGAGGTTAAAGCCTCAGATTTCTTCTAAATAACAGCTATGTAGAGAGCCACATCCTGTTGACTGATAGTGGCATGCAAAATAAACATATTTGCTATTACTCTCTGTTACTTTTTTTCCTCTTGTGTTGTCAAGTTTTGGTATCAGAAATAAACATTGAAACCGCAAAGTGAATTAGATGTGCATACCTTTTTTTATATGTTCAGGGAGAGAGCAACACATTCAGTGGGAGCTGACATTGGCTCTAGCCTGAAGGGCAGAGCAGCATTCAACAGGTAAAAATGTGGATAAATCCAGTTAATGAATTGGGGACCAAAAAAGGGATCAGTGAACATAAGTTTTAATGAGATCCAAGAAATAGTATGGTTTATTCAATAAATATCACATAAGTAACTCACATGTGATAGATATACTGCAGCATATTCTGAAATGACTAGTCAACACTGAGAGAAGTAGTATAATGAAGGAAGGTGTAAAGAGGCTGTGCTCAGGCAGTTGCATTTAAGAAGACAGAAGAAGCAGAATTCCAGGTGATGACAAGGTTCAGAGAGTGGAGAGTTAAAGGGGAGAGTCAAGGGGTATTGGTTGTATTGTCCATGTGGCAAGTGAAATAACTCCTGGGTAGAGGCAGGAGTAAGACTAAAAACATTTGTGAGCCAGGTGTCAAAGTCCCTGTGAGAAACAAAATGTACCTCTAGCCACATTTCCTGCAAAGGGCTACGCTCTTACACACAACTCCTCCCTATCTTTAGAAACGCAGCACAAGAACCTTTCCCTCTAGGAAACCCTCACAGTGCTCTATTCCCACAGGACTGGGCTTCATCACAGAGACAGGGTTTTATAGAAAGTGAAGAAGGCCTCAAAATGGCCTCTTCCTGCAGGGTTGAAAGAGGAGCTTTTGTTGCTACTGATTAGGAAAGTAAGATAAAGCTCCATGCAGAGCTAGACAGCCTTTGGCTAGGACCATAAACAGGGACCTGGCTTGAACTTTTTTTTTTTTTTTTTTTTTTGTCTTTTTCCTTTTTATCGGTACCAGGGATCGAACTCACAACTGCCTGCTTGCAAGGCAGGTGCTTATGCCGCTGAGCTAAATCCCCAGCCCCCCTGGCTTGAACTTCTGAGACCTGTCCTAGAAGTTAAAACTCTCCCACAGAGGCTGAAGTTAGGCCTAGACTCTGACTTCTTTAGAAGCATGTTAATCTGAACATGTGGACAAGAATGGAGATAGGAGCTTCTGGGGCAGAAAAAATATGCAAGATCAAAGGCAGTGTTACCTTGTAGAAAGGGCTCAATGAAGGACAAAGTCAGTGTCCAGAACTTCTTGGGATCCTGGGTGATACGCATATTCTGGGAAGAGAAAGCTCTGACTGGAAGTTGTAATGTAGGGCCTTGGCCCTCCCCTGCTTCTTGTCCTCACTATAAGGAATCTTTCTAAGAGCCAATCTGGTTCCTGACTCTTCTCAAGCAAGACTGGGAGAATCTCTTGTCTTTGTGGCAGGAGATTGTCCTAGCCCTGTGTCATTTAAGTCTGGGCTGTGATTCCTGCTTTTCTGGGTGATTATTCTTCCATTTGATCCCACTTGGGATCTGTAGAGCTAGGTGGCCTTTCTGTGGGATAGGGTGCTTTCACCATATGTCCACAGGCAGCTTGGATACAGAGTCTGTCACCTACCTCAGGTTTCTGCTGGCATGTGTTCATGGCCTCCACATTCTGGTAGATGAATTTTACTTTGAAGCCTTGGGAAAAAAAACAACCCATGGATAGCCTCTGTGAGCTAAATGAGGCCTCCAGCTGATAGTGAGCAAAGAAACCAGGACCTCTGACCTCCGGCTGTAGGGAGAGGAGCTGACAATGTAGTAGTTTATTTCCCTCAGGGCCCAGAAAGAAATGTAGCCCTACCATAACCTTAATTTCCATCTTGCCAGAACCTAGAACAGCCATGCCGGTACTTCTGATCAACTGTAAGTAGGAGGCTAAAAATGGGTGTTGTTTTAGACACTTGGTGTATGATAGTTTTCATATATTAATAGAAAACCAAAATGTAGACTTTGTAGGATGGCATGTTCAGATGTTTGTATACACCCATTGAAACAATAAACCATATTATTGTCCCTGGTATTGCACAGGGACAGGCATGCAATTTACTCTTGGTCAAGTATGTGTTCTTTCCTTGGATTTTGAAATTAACTCTGTGATTGACACAGTTAAAAAATGATTTATATGCTTGCTATCATCAGGGTAGCATCCTGATCAGACTATTACTATCTTTGTGTTCAGTTCCTATCCAGTTCTCAAGTTACTTTTTCCAGGCTTCCTCAAATTCTGTGAATCTCTGACATCTTTCTAGGGTAACTTTATTTGCGTTGGCAAAAGAAGTTTTAGATTCCATTTCTAACATTTTTGCACTGGTGTGTCACTGGGCAAGTATCTTTCCTTCTCTTGAGTCCTACACTCGTCTATAAAAGTAGACAATGAAGTGAAGCATTTAGCAAAAACTGAATTATCATACACTCCCCTTCATTTCCTAGACACTTTTATTTTTGTGCATGACTGTTTGATTCGTGCATTTCCAGGACAAGACGCTTACAAGCACATGTACTTTCAAAATAACGTTTGTCCAGCAGAGACATAGAAAAGAAAAAGTTTGCTGGATAGTTGGTTGGGTGTCATAGTGCAGGTGAGACTTATTTAATAGGATGAGAACAAGGGAGGACTTGGACTGGAATGGCTTCTGAATCTGGGACTTGACCCTAACTTGTTCCATCTGTGTCACAGTATCAAGTTACAAAGATCATATATGGAGATAGTTGATTACGTTAATTTGGTTTTATTTGGTAGGCAAAAGGGTAAGTGAAGGATACAGTCAGATTGGACTAGAGGCCCAAAAGGGTAACAGGAACAAGTAAAGGTTGGAAACAGATTAAAGAAAAACCTCAAAGGTGAACTTGATTTGCTTATATTCTCTTGTTACTCATGCATATGATGCCAATTTTAGTATCATATTAGTACTAGTTTTAGTATCCATTGATTATTCTTCCTCATTAAGTTTTTAATCATGCTTATTATACAAAGATGACTTTCTATTCCCATCCTTTTTTATATAAGATCCAATTTATATAAACTCAAGTTTATAAATCATTATTTACTAATAAAACAAAAATATCTGAAAGGAAGTTTTATCAAGTGTTTTATAATTTGAAAATCAACTAACTTTTCCATTATATTTTATTTTTGATTAATGTATCAAATGAGCATATTAATGTGGTTCACTGTGATATTTTCATATATACAGCATCTACTCACCAAACACAATTTCCTTTATCTGCCTCCCTTCCCTACCTATATTAACTGTTATTCTGTATTCATATTGATCTTTTCTAGCATTCATCATACTTTTTTCTTTCCATTTTTATTGAGGTAGAACTGAGAAGTAAAAGGACAAGGGACGGGAGGGAAAAAGAAAGGAAGAGACAAAGAATAGAAGGAAAAAAATTGAAACAAAGCTTTTGTAAATAAAAAAAAGGGAAAAGACTTGAGGGGAGAGGAATAGAAAAAAGGAAGCAAGGTATAATATACAAATTCCCTATGATGAATGTGATCATATATATCTAAAAAGTACTAATAAAAATTGTACGTATTTACAGTGTACAATGTGATGCTTTGACATATATATATATACATTGTGAAATAATTGTCATCAAGCTGACTTGTGTATGCATTTGCTCACATAGTTACTGTTTTTCTGGGTGATAAGGAAATTTAAGGTCAATTTTCTTAGCAAATTTCAAGTATACAATCCAGTATTATTAGCTAGAGGCACTGTTCTGTACATTAGATCTCAGGAACTTATCCTATGTAACTGAAACTTCACACCCTTTGGGCAGTGTCTTTCTATCCCCTTCCCAATGCCAGGCACTGGCAGCCACCCTTCTACTCTTAATATGACTTTTTTTTTGATTCCACATATCAAGTGGAGTGAGATCATGTGATATTTTTCTTTCTGTGTCTGAATTATTTCACTTGGCATATCTTCTGAACCCACTCATAGTGTTGCAAATAGCAGAATTTCCTTTCTTAAGGCATAACAGTATTCCACTGTATATATTTGAACTTTTTAAAAAACTTTATTTAAAGGAAAAAAAAACAATATAAGGGTACAAGTAATACAGAATTTCAAAAAAAAACAGTAAGAAATCACTAGTTAATACATTACATATTGTCATCTTAGAAATAGTTGTTCAAGTTACAGGGTTAAAAGCACACAAAGTAGACATTCAAACAGTAAGCCTGCAAACAGTTGTGTTCAATGATCCAACGAAAACCTAAACACACTTGCAGTTGTATCCTTTAGAGCACTTTCTTTTCCTCTTTTTTTACAATAACATTTACACATTTTGGGATTTATTACCCCCATAGTTCTTATTACTTTTTTTTCTGGAAGAAAATAAAACCTATGGCAAAACAAAGCAGTCAGTCAAAGCAAAGAATGGACATAGTACATTATGTACAAACAGAATACAAGGTAATCAACAATGGTTACCATAATGCCTCTTGCTACCTTAAAAAGAATTGCCTATATCATTAGGTATAATAAAATTGAACAAAACAGTACAGAACAAGACCAATAAAACGTAAACATTGGAGACATTACAGGACTTCAAAAGAAGATAATAGTCAAACCAGAATGGGCATCATATGAATCTTACTGCGTTCAAAGTAGTTGCCTAACTCTCAAACTTAATGCTATCAAAGAGAGCAGAACAGAGTCAAAACAAGATGGTGGGAGCAATACAGGGCTTCAAATCAAGTTAATAGGAGGTCAAAAATGTTACTATAATATATCCTGCTAATATTTTGGTTTTTTCGCTTAATTAAAAAAGTATTTTTTTAAAAGGGGAGATTGAGATAAAAGAGTACATAACAATATAACAAAAAAGGTCAAAGCAGAACAATTTCAGCAACGTAGTGTTTCACCCCAAGATAACCCAACTTAATAGCAGTTACCATAGTGTCTCCTTCCTTGAAATATTTGAGAATAACTTCGTATACTATAGCATCAAACATATTAAGCCAGTGTGAAACCATTCAAGAGGATGAAAGTATTACAGGTTATTTAGAACCAGCTAACAGAAAACAAACAATGGTTTTTATATTATCTCTTTGCCTATAAAAA